GTTCAAAAAGGACAACCCTCACCTACAACAAACCCTAACTCTCGGTAATTAAAAGGGCATAACCCCAAGCCTTCGAAAAAACACACCAACCCCCTAACAACCCTCACTAAACACCAGAACCCAAAACAAACAGATTGAGGATCTGGTCGACTTCCCACCACAAATTGGCAGTAAGACACTGGCCTGGAATTGATCAACCAGCGCTGATCGCCTCAGACGAGGGTGACTAGTGTTTAAAGAATCGAAACACCCGATGAATCTGAGGTACACTACTGATGAAGTGTCTTAAACATTTCCCTCTCACAGCTGGTCTTGAGGGAGTAACAAAAGGAGAAATTAATCCCAAACCTCACCCATCGAACCCTACAGCATCCGAACCCACCAAAACCATCCCAAAAGATGTTGGCACATCGTGCAACAGCCAATAATCATGACACAAAAACACTTCCCCTCATCAAGTCTCAAGCCCAAAGCCCACAAGCAAGGCTAACCCTCCCACACAGGAGGGGGAAGATCAACGCTCTTATGGTATATAGTCAGACAAGCGCGGGCCCGTGCACGCTTCCTCAATCTCCCTACTTCAAACCTACCTAGACTAGTGCTAGGATGGGGGGAGTTGTTGTAATTCTTTCAAACCCTAACCCTAACCCTAACCCTAGCCACGCCCCTTAAGCTGTCACTTTTGACAACAGACAGAAACGGTGAGCAGGAGGAGTCTTTTAGGTTGTAATTACTCTCCCCAAACCCTTTTCCCCATCTTTCGAAATGAAACCCCTACTTTATCCAATCAGCTTGCAGTAGAAAAAAAGCCACGCCCACTGTTTTCTCATTTAAAATTGCGTTTCTCTAGGAACTGAAGTGGGGGTGTTGTATCGCGGATGCCGCCCTCAATACTCTGCCTCCCCATTTTATTTGGACTTTACAGGTCTTGTGAAATAGTTTTCCTAGATGTTAGCATCAGTATATTAGTTTTAAGATTATCTATAATCTAGTGTGCTCCAAAATTTACATTTAGAAACCTCATATATACATCTAAAGCTTGCATTTTGTTACTTCCGCCTAAATGGGTCAATGTGTTTTTCAACTTCACCTCATACTTCAGTTTCTGATCAAATCTTCAGACCAATCAAATGCTGATGTCTGACATGCCCCGCCTCCTTTTCATTTGCTTTTTATTTAATGCCACTCTCACTGGCAGAGCTGTGATAAAACTAAACACTATTGGCCAAGCTAGGCTCATTATTGATACGTACCCCTATATATCTGGAGAGCACCAAATACGTCCCAGGAGGTATGTTTGTTTTCACAATTCCACCAGAGGCCGCTGTGTACGCTTTTTCAGATCTCAAATTTTTCTCGCGAGTGCCATTCGCACCTGCTGTTCTCATGCAAATCCACCAGAGGACGCTGTCAACTGTCTGACTGTCTAATCGACTGACCCACTCACCCCTTTTCTAAACCCAACCGATAGTGTTTACAAAAGCACCGATTGACCCACCAGCTTCCCTAAACTCAACGACAGTGTTTTCAAATACACAGATTGACCCACCCACTTCCCTAAATCCAACCAATAGTGTTTTCAAAAGCACAGACTGACCTGCCCACCCCGCCGCCGTCATACCGCCCCGTAGCGTTCATTTTAAAGATGAAATGCAGCCATACGTACTTCTGTGCTACATAATACATGATCTCTAGAAATGTATATAGGGCTACATTTTCAGAATAAGCCTGTGTTGCTATTGGCTGTTTTTTTAAGTGGGAGGAGCTACAATATGTCCCTCCCTCTCTTCATTTCAGATTACGTCTAATAAATACATACAAAGCACTAAATAAAGCTTTAATAATTCAACACTTTCAGCACAAATGAAGCTTGATCATGTGAAAGCGCCGCACATCCCCTGATGAGAAACAAAAGATTTACAAGAGTCGCAGCTGCTGAATATTTCAGCACAAAATGAAGCTATTGACTCAAAACCAGGGCTTCCCTCTGAACTGGCGGCCGATGCGAAACAAAATGATGAAAGTTTAAAGAATCGGCATCAATATCCGAGTTGATCTCCATTCCTCTGGAGGAAGGCTGGCTTTGAAGAGGCGCGCTTGTCAATAGTCAACAGTCTTTATTTATGGACGCTCCTCAGAAGGCCTGTCAGATGGGATATTTTGCTGCAGAATGACACTAAATCTTTCAGCTTCTGTCATTATTCTCGCGGGTCGCGGCCCTGAAATGCGTTTGTTTGCGGGGCTCCAGCACCTGCATCGCTAAACCCAAACTCAGCATTAAATCTCATGTGGAAACCCAGGCGATGTGTGTCTGCCCGAGGCCAAAGAGCAAGAGTTTGCTTGTACTTGGACTTCTTCTGACTGCTTCCTTGGACTCTGTATTGGATAGTTTGACAGCTGAAGGAACTTGCATTTTGTTAGGGTGGAAAATAAGGCAAAAGCAAGTTTATTTATCCAATTTTAAGTTATATATTTTACATATATCGATCTGTGTTGGTGTTGCTGTGTGGAGTTTGCATGTTCTCCCCATGTTGGCGTGGGTTTCCTCCGGGTGCTCCGGTTTCCCCCACAGTCCAAACACATGCGCTATAGGGGAACTGATGAACTAAATTGGCCCTAGTGTATTAGTGTGTGTGTGAATGAGTGTGTATGGGTGTTTCCCAGTACTGGATTGCAGCTGGAAGTGCATCCACTGTGTATGGTGGAATAATTAGTGGTCAACAGTCCAAACACATGCGCTATAGGGGAATTGATGAACTAAATTGGCCGTAGTGTATTAGTGTGTGTGTGAATGAGTGTGTATGGGTGTTTCCCAGTACTGGATTGCAGCTGGAAGTGCATCCACTGTGTATGGTGGAATAATTAGTGGTCAACAGTCCAAACACATGCGCTATAGGGGAATTGATTAACTAAATTGGCCGTAGTGTAAACATATGCTGGAATAGTTTGTGGTTCATTCCGCTGTGGCGACCCCTGATGAATAAAGGGACTGAGCTGAAGGAAAATGAATGAATGAAGTAGTTTAAGACGACAGGTTTCCATGCAGTTCTCTAGTAAAGTCAGTATATTTGTGTTAGGAGTGTTTGCACACTCTTAGTCAATCCTTTTTGCAGCCTCCATCAGTCCAGATGACAGCTCTAAATCTCCTCCTATAATGCCAGATAAGGGTGGAGGAGTCCTGGAAACAGATTAAGGAGCTTTTTCCTCCCTCTCCAGATCCTTCAGCTTCTCTGGTCCATGTTGTTGCACTTTACTCTTCAGTTCATCCACTCATTTTCTACATGATTCAGCTCAGGGGTCTGGAAACGCCTGCAGAATCGTACTGTTATCCTACTTTCAGGCAACATCTTCTGCGTTTGAAAAGTAGTTTTTGGATCATTTTTATTATGGAGGAGCTAACCATTGCCCATTATTAGACTTCTAACATACAATTATACAGTTCGGAAAGTAATAAATAACATAAGCCCATTGCCAGGTTGCATGAATGAGCTAAAAAAAAATTTTCTTATGGCTCATTTCCATTGAGTAGTACTGTATGTCTTGGTTCGGTACGATTTATAGCCGTTTCCACTGTCAAAAGGTACCTTAAAATGAACTGTACCATACCACTTTTTTGCAAGGCAAAAGGGTACCAAAAAGGGGAGACACGCAGCTGAACGCTGTTGGTTAACAGAGATACGTCACTCGCCAGAATAAAAACAAAGGAACCGCTGTGTTTTAAATACACAGCCGAGACATTACATACAGATGAAGTCAGAATTATTAGCCTCTCTTTTAATTTTTTTTTTGTATTTTAAATATTTCCCAAATGATGTTTAACAGAGCAAGGAAATGTTCACAGTACATCTGATGATATTTTTTCTTCTGGAGAAAGTCTTATTTGTTTTATTTCGGCTAGAATAAAAGCCGTTTTTAAACACCATTTTAAGGTCAATATTATTAGCCCTTTTAAGCTATATATTTTCTCGATAATCTCCAGAACAAACCATCATTATACAATAACTTGCCTAATTACCCTAACCTGCCTAGTTACCCTAATTACCCTAGTTAAGCCTTTAAATGTCACTTTAAGCTGTATAGAAGTGTCTTGAAGAATATCTAGTCTAATATTATTTACTGTCATCATGACAAAGAGAAAATAAATCAGTTATTAGAGATGAGTTATTAACACTATTATGATTAGAAATGTGCTGAAAACATCTGCTCTCCATTAAACAGAAATTGGGGGAAAAAATAAACAGGGGGGCGAATAATTCTGACTTCTGACTGAGCTCAAACAAACCTTGTCGTTATCTTGATGAACAGCCACAAAGCCAAGAAGAGCAGAATCTGCCCTGTGCTCCATAGATTTTAACAAGCCTCTAAAGCGTGAGCATTTTCAACTCGTGTGCACGTCTATATTTAAAATAATGAACCTCTTGAGCTGTTGATAATAATGTGCGCGTGATTATTGAAGTGCTTCTGACATCCCATCCTTTCAGAAACGGACAAACGCGAGACTAACGACTTGCGAAAAAGCTCCAGAGGCCGCTGTGTATGCTTTTTGAGATCTCAAATTTCTCTCAGGAACGCCATTCGCATCTGCTGTTCTCACGTAAATCCACTAGAGGCCGCTGTTGACTGACTGACCAGCTGATAACCCTAACCACACTTTCCCTAAACCCAACCGACAGTGTTTTCAAGAGCAGTCCAGATAAAGAAAAGCCCTCACCTGTTTTTTTTTAACCACGTTTTCAGACCTTTCCAAGTTCTCACCCTGTTATTTACTTGTTTATTTTATGCCTTTTGTTTTACCTGCTTTCTGGAACTGTTCTTCACCGTACTCAAACCCCGTCAACTCTACTCTGTGTCT